AATCAAAGAGGATATGAAAGAGCGTTTTAAAATCTCTACAACAAACAGCTCACTGAATGGTGATGTATCTTAAGTTTTTCCATTTAAGGTACAGAAAGTCAAGAATAACTTCTTATACTCGCTAATAAACATGTACTAGAGGTCTAGCAAATCAATAAGAAAAGGAAATGTATGGATTAGAAGAAAACCACAAAATCTTCTATTTAGAGATATTATGATTGACAAAGAGAAGGGTCCAGGGGCTGACAAAATGGTTCAGTGGGTAAAGGGGCTTGCTGTCAATCTGACCAGCTGAGGTCAATCCTCAGGGCCTACCAAAGGTGAGAAGTGGGTCTCATACCTTGTCCTCTGATCTCCACATGTTAACACACACACACCACATGTGCATACACATAATAAATAAACATAATAAATAAACATAATAAAGTTTCTTTAACCAAAGAGTCTATAAGCTACTATAGCCTTGGGAATTAAGTTACATCCATTTTTATAAAATAATTAATCTGCTTAGCACAACATTGAACTATTATTTTAAAATAGCATTATTCACAGTAAGGAGTGAGTCTAAAAAGTACCTAGAAATAATTCTGAAGTACAAGTATTAAGATCTGCAAGGCTTTATGGCCAGGACTGGTGGCTCATGCATCCCTGTTGTGTCAGCATTCCGAAGGCTGAGACCGAGGACCATTGCAGGCTCGAGTCCAGCTTGTGATGCACAGTGATCAAAGCCAGCCAGAGCCACATGATGAGACCCTGTCTCAAAGAAACAGACAGGGGAAGAAGCCCTTCAAATTAAAAAATATATGGCTCGTGTTTAGAAAGATTCAACCTTCTCAAAAAGATGTTAATTCTCTTCAATGTATAAATTCAACGGACTTCCAGCTCACATCTTCGGTTTCTTTGAATGTAACAACCTGATCCTTGAATTCCTAAGGAAACCTGAAGGGTGAGGAGAATGAAGATGCTGTGATGGGAAGGGTGAACAGGCTGAGTCTGGTAGGGACAGACTCGGCTGATCACAAAGTGAGACAGGGTGGCATTCAACCTGAAGCCACAGCCCAGAGACAGCGGAGCCAGCCTGGCAGGAAGGGAAGCCCGTCTTCAGCCACAGATCCACACTTCTGGAGTATAAGGGACTTCTGATGAGACAGGAGAGGGACTCAGAACGGCGGATTTTCTATGACAAGAATTTTTTAGGGTTGACTAAGATGAGATTAGATGCTCCACCTTCCAAAAAAGAAAACATCTACATGAAAAACAATAATGATGACAAAAATAGAACTTAAAACTGCTTTAAAAAAATAGGAAATGATCGCTTTATGATCTTGGACTAGGAAATTGTTTATTAAAAAGTAAAAACACAAACACACACAAAGAACAAAGAATGAAAGAAAATACTGCCAATGTTGACATTTAATTTTATATGTATATAAAATTATATATGTATATATTATCACGGATCTTGAAAGAATGTGAAGGAAGGCGCAGTGTGAGGCGGGACCAGGCTTCCTCTGCCGGGTGTTTGTTGGATACTATAAATCTGCCCTGAGTGAGAGTACTTCTAGTCCTGCCACAGATGGAGTGAATGATGTCAGAGCCACCCTGTACTCTTGGATGGCCACAGGATAATTCATAATGGGGGCTCCCGCCCACCCGCCGGCCTGTCCTCCAAGACTAAGCCCCTCTCTGTAATCACCTGATCTCTTGAGAATTTCAGATTTTTAAATAACCTGCTCATGCCGTCAGTTCTCCATCTGTCACTTGGGACTTAGTTTTCTCAGCACCTTCAGGGCTCAGTTCATGTTGCTGCGGCCATTCTAGGAATGACACATTGGGGTTTTAAACTTGTGCTCAACAAGTCTCATAAGCAAAGCGAAAGCATCTCTAAAAGGGACATCGAAGGAAGAGGGATATTTTGCAATGGGTATATCTATCAAATGATTAAAATCTAGAATACAGTGAATCACAGTCTAAGAGATCTATATGTCTGTCTGTCCATGGATGAATCCATCTATCCATCCATCTATCATCCATCCATTCATCCATCTATCCATCTATCCATCGGGGGCACGTCCATCAGAGGACAACCTGAGGGAGTGGGTTCCCTCATTCTACCATGTAGTCCCAAGGAAAGAACTCAAGGTGTCAAGCTTGGTGCAAGGGCACTTACCCATTGAGATATCTCCTTGGTCTTTAAATAATTATTTCTTAAAGCAAATATTCATATATATACATATATATACATATATATATATGTATATATATATATGAAACAAATACAAACAGCACGTTACAGAAGAGGAAATTCTAACGAACAATAAGCATGTAAGAAAAAGTGTGTCTTTGTGGTAATTAGGTTATTGTAAAGTCCATACCCTTTTGCCCTGTATCTTACACAGTACTGGTAAAAGGCTAAACTATGCTGGTGGGCAATTTGCCACTGTCTGTTAAGACTGGATGGGCAGGTGTTCTTGGGATTTGTTGGTTAGATTTTGAGACCTGGATACTAGGAGACACAGACAAAAAACTTCATTGTAGCCAGTTTTCAAGGATGAAATTTGTCAGCAACCTAGCTTTCGGCAGCAGGAGAACAGATAAACTGCGGCCATTCAGCATCAAGTGCATGGACCTACAAACCGAAAGCTGCCAAGAGCAGGTTGTGGAATGTCGTGTTGAGTATTTGTGTCATTTACATCACACTAGAAAACTATCTGTGTGCTCTCTACAGAAGCAAGTGGACAGTAACAGTATAAAACACCCATGAACAGTAACAGATTCAAGATTAGTGATTATTCAAAGGGACAGACGTAGGAGTCGGGGAAATTACAGAAAGGAAGGGAAGAGGGACTTAATCTTCCCTTTCAATTAAGAAACATGTGATTTAAATATAGAAAATGTTATGCATATCATAAAACTATGTGGTAAGTATACTAATGTTCATATTAAAATGCTCTCATCTTCTATAAGCTAGGAAAGTTAGGCCAGACTTAAGAAAATTCTAGATTCTATCAAATGCAGTTGAGTAGGTTATCATACTGTCTCCAATACTTTTTATCATAATGGCCTTTGCTGATCAATAACTCTGGGCCTGAGCAAGTGCTGTATACTTCCTGAGTTTCACCCCCCTACACACACACACACACACACACACACACACACACACACACACACTAGCATCAAGTCCTGGACATTCCACAACCTGCTCTTGGCAGTTTTCGGTTTGTAGGTCCATGCACTTGATGCTGAAAAGAATAAAGCCGTCACAGTGCTCTTGGACGGTGGAATAGCTTAGTCCAGTACGTACAGTAGGTAGCGTAGTAGCCTGTGCTTGACTGTTCCTTCATTCCTGTAATGTATGTGTGCTGAGTCTCTGCTGTGCCCCTGATGCTGCTTGGCACAGGACAGAGGACAGGAGGGGGTCTCTAAATCCCTGTGTTACGGAGCTACAGCATCTTTCCCCCACCCCCCGCCTCAGTCCGTCCCTGCAGGTTTTCTTGTATATTTACCCTTTCCTGTGGCCATGACACCCTGGCACTGAACTGCCTATTGCCCAGTCATCCTAATGATGGATTTTTAAGGACTCTGTAGCCCTTATAAAGTCAAGTTTCAAGCATCTGAGTACCCTAGTACTCAGAGACCACAGCATGATTGCAGGCAGGGGTGATAGCTCTACAAAGCTCCTGACTGAAGAATAGCGGACAATTGGAGACCTATTGGGTGCACGTGGATGGTTTCTAGGGGACTTCCTGGACAAGCACTGCTAGGGAAGCCCCCTCCTTTTTTTTTTTATCACTCAGGGTTTTCTGTTCTAATTCATTTGTTCATAGATGTTCCATTCCATCCATGCTGACTTAGGCCAACATCCTAGCAAATGATTTATGAATGCTTCAAGTGTTTGATGTTATCTTTTGACTTTTTTACTGTAACTGAATGAATATTACAATGTATATGTGTGTCACTGTACATATATCTGTCTATATATGTCACTGTATATGTAGCTCTTGAGATAACAGTTATCATTTATTAAGTACCCAGTGTATACTTACTCTGCCGTGAAAGCTTCACTGACCCCCTTTTAGACACAATTACATTGCATCATAATTAAACAGCAGCTTCTGCTCTGAGTAAACGGGTTCAAGTCTGCTTCTGCCACATAACTGTGTGTCTTTGCATGTTTCCGTGACTCTTTGTGTCTTGGCTTTCCCCTTTGTAACAGAGTACTATTTACCTCATATGGCTGAGGATAGATTATACACAGTAACCTACACGGGGTAACGTACTGCTTGCCAAGAGCACTCACTCAGTGTGCATCTAACTCTGTCTTTCTTATTGAAGAGAACTAGGCAGGGAGGGCTGAAACAGAAATCACAATGCCATCTGTACTGGATGGCTGTAGACCTCGGAGAATGCTGAGCACAGTCTGGTGCACGGACCAGTCTTTAAAATGAAGGCTCACTCTCCTCCTTAAGGACTATCTACTTCAGAAGGAAGAGTACTCCTTGGAAAACCCCAACTCTTTCCCATCTGGTACCTTTTCTAAAAATCTCCTGTGTCTCACAAACATTTATGGCAATGAGTCTGTGATTGTAGGTTTACTATTTCAATTCTGCTTCTGGGATTATGCCAGGTACATTGGTACACACCCAGGAACTAAAGGGCACGTTGCGACCATGGATGTGTTTATAGGATGTGTGCCTTAGAAAGAATGGAAATGAGCACCATTGTGCTGAGCTGGGCAGAGGGAGGAATGCCCAGGTGAGGATGGGGGCTGCTGGGAGCCTGAGCACTCAAGCGCATTTGCAAGTGGCTCAGTGTGCACTTTTTTTTCATGATGATGTACTAATGGGCTTGGCTGGGAGTATGGCAAAGGTGAAGAGACCATGAGGGAGAGGCATGGATCCCTGAACACTGGTGGGGGACACAGCAGCATGCCGTTGGCCAGGTGGAGGGGTGGCACAAAGCAGCATGACTGACTTTTCCATCTGCTCTCTCCACACCAGGATCTTTTCACCTAATTCACCTGATGTTCGATGACTACGTGCTCTACTTGCTAGAATCTCTGCACTGTCAGGAGCGGGCCAACGAGCTCATGCGAGCCATGAAAGGAGAAGGAAGCACTGGTGAGCGGAGCTTTATAGGAGTCTCAGGTCTTAACAATCTGACTGATAGAACTTGCCTCTGTTTCCTTGAGTCCACACAGCCAAGAATTTAGCAGATGCTGAGAAATCAACAATCTTTTCCTCTTTAGAGTGGGCACTTGGGTGCATGGAAACCATTGAAGGGTTTTAAGCAAGGACTGACCAAGAGGACACAGATTAGAAAGCCAGTTTCTTTTTTATTTTTGTTCTTCAAAGGCAAGTGGCCTTGACCTTGGGATCTAAGAATGTACCTTTTCTCGAATTGCAGCTGAAGCCCAGGAGGAGATTATCTTGACAGAGGCTACCCCACCAACCCCTTCACCAGGCCCATCATTTTCTCCAGCAAAGTCTGCCACATCTGTGGAGGTGCCACCTCCCTCTTCCCCTGTCAGCAACCCATCCCCTGAGTACACTGGCCTTAGTACAGCAGGTAAGGGGGCATGGGTCTCCAAAGTGTTGGGTGGGAAGTACATCTGGGAAATGGGTCTTCCTCAAAGCCCAAAAAGGAATAGTGGGATTTAGGATTCCTGGATTTGTGAAAGGCTTATAGGTCTCAGATTATTTATGACTACAACTTCCATATGTTGCTGATTTCAGTTGGCAGATTAAACACATGATAAATCTCTATTCCCCAAGGTAAGCTGCAGAAACTATTTAAGATGTCATTTAAGGTAGTATACAGGCATCCTTGAAAACAAGAAACATGTACCCAAACCTGAGCAATGTCTCTGGAAAGGTAGAGAGGCAAGAAGCCATGCCAAGCTACAGTAGGACAAATCAAGGCAGCGGCTGTGACCAGAGTTGATCTTGGGCCAAGCTTGGACCACACTGAATGTGACTTGTAGAGCTGATGCCACTAGGTTGTTCAGATGGGAGATCCACAGCCCAAGACACACAGTGTTGTACCAGGCTAACTACGCCCAAGAATCTCCAAAAGCCTCAGTAAACACAAATACCTAAAACAAGTGAAGGAACCCCAAAGAGATACTTGTATATCATTGTTCATAAAAGTATGTATAATAGTCAAAAGGTAGAAAGGACCCACTGCGTATCCTTTGCCCATCGATGGGTGAATGGATATAAACATAGCATACGGTACAATATTTCTAATTCTAATATAACACAACATGACTGAATCTTGACAGTATTGTGCTAAGTGAAATGAGCTAGACATTAAAGGACCGGTGTCTGACTCTACCTGTACAGGGACCCAGAG